CGCCCTCTAGAACGCGTGGCGATCTGACGGCGGGGGGCGCCCATTGGCTGCCGGCGAGCACGTGACTTCCCTGCCCCCTGCCCCCCCCCCCCCCGCCGAGTAAATGTGATCGTCCGGCTGCCGGCCGGTTGGACAGTCCAAGTTCCCACCGACCACCGATCAAGAGGTCCTGGCGCGCGGGGGGCAGAGTTGGTGACACAGCTGTGCCAAGTAGACAAGAAAAAAGCCTCGCGGGTGACCTCCGGGAACTACGTCCATCTTCCATATGTAATATACATTTAATCGTGTAAACCCGGGCGTTGCTCGGGTCATTCGTCTAGTATAAATATATATAAGGTCTTCAATGGTGGTACCCACCGCGGGAAAGACTCCGCCACCGATGGACTGCGAGAGTTCTTTCCCACAGAGTGGGTAGGTCTAGGTGTTGGCTGGTGTTACCCACCTCAAGACCAAGATGGTACTTGTAGATGGTAGCCTTCGTCACACTCGTTAACTTCATTGCCTCGAATGGAGGCCGACGCCGAACAGCCAGGCCTGGAGATCCAGGGGCTCTTCACAGGACTTATCTTTTCTCAGCACCTGATGAATTTTGCACGTTTTATTTACTCTTATCTAATCAACACCTGTCTCTCTCTTATCTTCCATGGTCTGAGGAATCTAGCCTTTTTTTGAACAACCTTGGTGACGTGCAACACCTTGGTATTTTGCTACAGTACATTGTGGTTTGTCTGCTTGTTATATTCATTTTTGGGCTCAAAAATCATACACTTTGGTTAGTAGCCTTTAAAACCATATTGTCTCTCTTTACTTTGGCCAGCTCAAATCTTTTGTAGATATGTAAATACGTAATCTTTTTTTTCTTTATTCTTCATGTCTTAAGTCAGGTCTTTTTCATCCTAAATCATGTTATCAATTAAAGTAAATTGTGATTAAAAATATTTTTATTCTTCTTTCCGCGACTACAAACCATTGACCTAATGGTCTTGTACAAAAACCTAGCAAAATAATTATTTCTTATCTCAAAATATTTTTAAAACAGCAATCCGAGACACAAATTTAATATAACACAAATAGAGAATAATTTCTAACACTTTGCCTAATGTTTTAATTTTTGTTCGCTCCTGACGAGGACAAAATATTTTTATAATACACTGCGGTTTGTGATTGTAAAACAACACTTGAAGTTACACCGCATTAGTTTCTTTTCAATGAAATATCAAAATTTATTTCAAGGTGAAATATTAACTATTTCTAACCTTTTTCCGTTCATCATTACTCTTCATAATTCACCCTTTCATACCTCATCCAAAAAAGGTTAGAGATAGTCAATATTTCACCTTGAAATAAATTTTGATTTTTCATTGAAAAGAAACTCATGCGGTGTAACTTCAAGTGTTGTTTTACAAAATATTTTTGTCGAAACGTCGAGACAATAAAAAGATTTACTGGCCGAAGTGTCTTTTATTTGAAGAAATATGAATGCCGGCCAGGCAGCCTCTATCTTTATGATTGCATAAATAGAGTTAACTTTTGAAACCTTATGCAAGTTGGATTTAGATAAAAGATATGCAAAACATGAATCCCGAGATATTTACTACAATCCTTACATTGTCCAAGAGTTACAATATTTAATATCTGAATACATACATACACAATTCTATTCTCTAAATTTAAAAAAGAAATAATAAAACAGCCGACCTTTTCCTTAATTTAGCGTTGACATTTTTATTAAAATGATGTTTTAAATAATGAATAAATACAGGTATTACAACATATATGAAAAATAATAGAAAAAAATAATAAAAAGGTCAGGTATTGATATTAAAAATATTAAAGGTATGTTCTTTTGGTCAGGATATGTCTTTTTTATATTTAATATCAACACCTGACCTTTTAATTTTTTCGATTATTTTTTCATGTGTTAAGCGTATTTACGCAAGTTTGTCCTTAAATCCCCATTTCTTGGTTTCTAAAGAAGCCTATGGGACCAAAAATATTTTTGGTCGCAGTGGTACTCCACGCTGACGAGCGCCAATAGCGCGAAACGCGTTCGTGGATGGCTTTTCTTAATTTATCAAGAAATTGGGTTATCCAAATATAAGGGAATAAGTTAAATCAATGTATAATTTGATTTCTGTTCCACCAGATGGCGCTCTTCCATCTAAAAAGCACATGTGCTCCTGGTCAGGATATGCCATTATTATTTTTAATATATATATATATACATATGTGAAAAAAATAGAAAAAGTAAAAAGGTCAGGTGTTGATATCTATATATATAAAAATGAATGTTTGTATGTTTGTTGGTTTATATGTCCGGTATACAAATTCGCAGTAGTTCACTAATTCAAACCAAAATTTCCATACATAGGTAAAAAAATAACGGGGAAGACGATATGCTATTTTAAAAAATATATAAATCAATTATTAAAACTATATATTCAAATTATTCTACTTAGCTCACGAACAGCGCCCTCTATCAAGTACTAAAAGGTTATAAATACGTTTAAAATCTAAATCTTCTCAATATTTTATTAATAATAGTTCGCTTAATAACACATATAATATAAATATTTATATAATAACTGCTCTAATTTGAAATATTTGGTAGGTTTTATTTATTTATATATTTTCATTTTTAGATATAACTGATCTAATTCGCCGTTTAAAATAACTGCTCTAATTTCTATTTATTTGAAGTATTATAATTTCCATGTTTCAAAAACCTATTTCAAAAAGGTCGTTAGAAATATGTAAGGCCTGAAATAGCTTTACGTGCGAATATTTATAATGCCAAGCGTAGCTTAATGGTTAGGTGTGCGGCTTCGTATTTCCACAACCTTGGTTCGAAACTTAGCCTGGGTGTTTTTTTTTTTAATTATTATTATTGAAGCAAAGTTTTTTTTTTACAGTACCAAAATTTCCATACATAGGTAAAAAAAAATACGAGGAAAACGATAGGCTATTTTAAATTATATATAAATTAAATATTAAAACTATATATTCAAATTATTCTACTTAGCTCACGAACAGCGCCCTCTATCAAGGTTATAAATACGTTTAAAATCGAAATCTTCTCACAATTTTATTGATAATAGTTCACTTAATAATTAGAATACTTGATCAAAATCGAAATATTTATAGACGCTCGTTCGATTTGAAGATTTATAATCTTCTAATCTGACTATAATTTCTAATCTGACTGTAAAGTTTGGAGCGGGACGTTTCACAAGAGTGGCATCCACGGCGCCAATTTATAATTGTAACGAATAGTGTTTGAATGAAACATTTAATCGGGTAAACCCGGGCGTTGCCCGGGTCATTCGTCTAGTTAAAAATAAAAAAGGCATATCCTGAACAGGAGCACAAGTGTTTTACAGATGGCAGAGCGCCATCTGGTGGAACAGAAATCAACTAAACAATGATTTAGCCTGTTCCTTGATATTTGGCCAACCTAATTTCTTGATAAAAACCATCCAAGTATATATGTATATATTGTAATATTTTGAAAAAGGTTGGCGTTCAGCCAACTGAAATCTTGTTAAAATAAATTGATTTTTGATCCAATATATGCCTTTTTAATTATAAAATATTCGAGTCTTATGTTTGATCTTATTCCATGAAATTTAAGTAGCGTAAGATTAGATATATTTTATTACTTGGATGCATTTATAAGCTTAATTATTCTGGAGTGTTTTTTTCTCCATGTTAGTGAATCGAGCTAATCTTTCAGGAAATTATAATCACCCAACTGCTAACAAGTTTTCTGGAGTTGACATTTATGATGATTGATGGCAATTTCAATCTTTGCAGCGTCACATCAGGAGTTGTCAACCCCTTCCTACATTACTTCTTTTTTTTACAATCTACTTTTGATGGGAAACTGAAATTCTTTTTTATGAATTCAAATTACAGTAAATTTACGTTAGACTCGTTTGTAAAAGTGACCTTTTCTTATGAATAACTAGTTTTCCGCAGTCAATGTTCGGAGGAGATTAATGGATTCGCTGAATGTCGTGGTCCATTTGGATGAGGAAAGCGAAGACTAGAACGCGGCTGATTCCACACCCTGATTTTCAGTGATACGCTAACCTTGAAATATACACGGTGAAATCTGTGGCCACTGGACATATGTCGGACCTGGAGCCTGTTGTTGGGTTCTGTGCTGCCTGGAGTATAGAAGCTCCATCTATGTTTCCTTTCTGCTGTGAATCTGCATAAGACCAGTGGTCTTAATAAAGCTGTATGTGTGTGTGTATTCAGAACAATTGTTGGGTTCTGTGCTGCCTGGAGTATAGGAGCTCTATCTAATGCTTCCTTCCTGTGGTGAATCTGTATAAGACCGGTGGTCTTAATAAAGCTGTATGTATGTGTGTATTCAGAACAATTGTTGGGTTCTGTGCTGCCTGGAGTATAGGAGCTCTATCTATGCTTCCTTCCTGTGGTGAATCTGTATAAGACCGGTGGTCTTAATAAAACTGTATGTGTGTGTGTGTGTGTGTGTGTGAATAACTTGCTCTTAAGAACAATTTCCAGGAGAAACCATGGATATCCATGTTATTTGTGATTCCAGGAGAAACCAAGGGTATCCATGTTCTTTGTGAAAATTATCGCTTTTTAAAGATGGTTGCTCTCTTGTATTAACACAAATGTTTCAACGCCTCTAAAATAAATCCACTATTATAATTATATAACCTGGAAGATTGGAATGGAAGTGTGGAAGAACCGATAGATGGCAGTAAGTTATCAGCAACATTGAGTTGCAGAATAGGCCTTTTCATTATAATATATTCCTATATATCAAATATAAACATATTCTCTAAGTAGACAAGAATTTGATAAGAAGTACGATAAGTATACAAGAAAGCATAAAAGAAAGAAAGATATAAAAAGGGAATACACACAAGTATCAGAGTCATCAATAATCAATCAACAATCAATTCTGTCACCGTTTGCTTTTGTGAATGGAATAAATACCCAAATATGGCAATTTCTTATAAGCATCGGTGGTTCAGTGGTAGAATGCTCGCCTGCCACGCGGTCGCCCCGGGTCGGATTCCCGGCCGATGCATTTTTTTTTTTTACAATTTTTAAAACTCATTTATATTATTATTATTATTAAAATATACAAGTATCAGAGTCATCAATTTTGTCATCGTTTGCTTTTGTGAATGGAATGCTTTTACGTAATATACGTGAAATACGTAACTAATATGACTGAAATTTTAGCAGTATGTAGAGTAGAATCTGGAAAAACTTATATTGAATATTTCAGGTCTCTATCCCGAATATTCTTCGAGTTATTTGCAAATTTGAGTTGCAAATTTGCTCTTTCGCTCGCAAGCAGCGCCTCTAGCGGTGAAGATGGGAAGTAATATCAGCGGACCTAATGTACACGTAAAACGTGTTTTGACAGGCCATAGAGAAAAATCTGGAAAATATATTTATCGGATTTTTAGCCAATAAAAAATAAAATTGACAGGTTCTGGGCAAAAATAGTTGGTTTTTTTTCAGTCAAAAAATGATGATGACAATATTGCTGAATCATATTTGATTATCAGATACAAATTATATCCGGAAAAATTCCAAAAAGCAGAGACCACGGGTGAAGCCAGTTCATTTTTAGTATGCAGGAACAGAATTCTAACAGAAAAACATTCATTCGAGCAGAAGACACAAAGCCAGATCATCTCTTTATAAAAATATCGCTTCTCAGACACAAAGTTTGGAGCGGGACGTTTCACAAGAATAACATCCACGGCGCCAATTTATAATTGTAACGAATAGTATTTGAATAAAAGCATTTAATCGGGTAAAACCCGGGCGATTCCCGGGTCATTCGGCTAGTATATATGTGATAAGGTCCTGTCGACTTATCTGTGATGTGATCCTGTCGACTCTCGCTATAGCTGTGGTAACCGGGGGTCAAACCTGTAGTAACCGAGAGGGACAGTCAGGGCGTGGAGAGTTTTCCAGTACCTCTCTGCACCTTGGAGGACCTTTAACAGTTCTCACAGAGTACAGGCAGTCGTGGTCGAGGCAGAGTGGAAAGCTTGGGAATGTTCACACACAAAAAAAACGAAGAGACACAGTTGTAGTAGGAAAGTTCCGTGAACAGATAGGAGTCGAGCTAAGAGCAAGATGGAGAGAGAAGAGTTCTTACTGTTTTACCTGGTCCATTAGATGGACCTGGGTACAACCGACAAGGGCTCACGCCGATGGTGAAGTGACTATTATTTCGGCTAGGGGAGATGTTTTATATATCTTCGCCGAGGGGGGAAGACATGCGAGAATTTGGACTTTGAACGGGTGCAAAGGTCGTGGTGTGTCTGCAGTATTTTCTACACCCTTTGGACCTGATGGCAACGGCCTGCCAAATTCCTCTTTAGGGTTGATTTCTATCTCGATCTCTTGCTTAGCTCAGAGCTCTTAATCTATTACATAGTTTTATTTATTCATCCTCAGTTTGTACAAAGTACATTACATATGGTGATGCAATGACACATGTCAATCATGCGTATAATTAGTTATAGATGTGTTTCTATATACAACATGACAATCTTGTTATAAGTATTATACAATATAGCGTTGTCGGTTTAAATTACCATATATACGAGGTGTGTTCAAGAAGTATCGCGAATTTTGAATTTTCGCGGGTTACGTATATTCGAATTTCGATCTTTTTTGTGGCTTTATGTTGGTACTCATGTCTCTCACTTATGCCGACAAGCTCGGCCATTTTGAATGTTCACTTAATTGTTGACAGCTGCTTTGCTTGCAGGTATTTTGGATCGTCTTCGATTTTTACCTATTAAAAAATGGATCAAAGAACCTGTATCAAATTTTGTGTGAAAAACGAAATTAAGTGCGCAGATGCATTCCGAATGTTGACTGTGGCATACGGAGAAGCTACCTTGGACCGAAGTAACGTTTATCGGTGGTACAAAATGTTCTCAGAAGGCCAAGAAGATGTGAACGACGAAGAGCGTGCCGGACGCCCGAGTACTTCAACAACAGACGAAAAAATTAATGAAGTGGAGAAAATGAAATTGGCCAATCGTCGAATCACCGTTAGAGAAGTTGCTGAGGACCTAAACATATCGATTGGCTCGTGCCATTCGATTTTTATCAATGATTTGGGCATGAGACGGGTCGCCGCGAAATTCGTACCAAAATTGCTCAATTGCGACCAAAAACAGCATCGCATGAACATTGCTAATGAGATGTTGGACTCTGTCCGCGACGACCCAAATTTGCTCCAGAGGGTCATAACTGGTGACAAGGCGTGGGTTTATGGTTATGACGTGGAAACCAAAGCTCAATCATCTCAATGGAAGCTGCCGCACGAACCAAGACCGAAAAAAGCGCGCCAAGTTCGATCGAATGTGAAAGTTTTGCTGACAGTTTTCTTCGATTGCAGGGGCGTGGTACATCATGAGTTCTTGCCACAGGGTAGAACGGTCAATAAGGAATATTATCTGCAAGTTATGCGCAATTTGCGCGAAGCAATCCGCCAGAAACGCCCGGATTTGTGGAAGAACAAAAATTGGCTTTTGCACCACGATAACGCCCCTCCTCACACATCGTTGCTTGTGCGCGACTTTTTGGCCAAAACAACACACTAATGATGCCGCAGCCACCGTATTCCCCAGATCTGCCCCCCTGTGACTTTTTCTTGTTCCCTAAACTGAAGAGCCCCATGAAAGGACGACGTTACGCTACGCTTGACGAGATAAAGACGGCATCGAAGGAGGAGCTGAAAAAGATTTTTAAAAATGATTTTTTGAAGTGCTTCGAAGATTGGAAAAACCGTTGGCACAAGTGTATAATATCTCATGGGGATTACCTTTAAGGGGACAAAATAGGTATTCATCAATAAATAAATAATTTTTGATAAACACAAAAGTCGCGATACTTTTTGAACGCACCTCGTATATATTATACAAGTATACTTGTATAATCTAAAATGCAAATATTTTATTTTTTATAAAACATGTACAGGGTAGAAATTGTTTTATTTTAAAAAGAATATTACGCGTCTAAAATAGTTTCGTAATTTGAAATACTTTCATGTTTAATGTTATATAAGGAGGGTATGTAAATTCTGTAACTGATTTTATTCATTTCTTGTTTCTAGTTTGTTGTGAGGGAAACATCACCCACAAAGTGTATCAATTGATTAATAAACCTATAAATTTCCACGTGGCAATATCATCAAATATTACCTCTACAGACCTTACTGCAATGATATAAGTTATTGAATGAGAGGGCTTGGTTCATTTCAATAATATCATCAAATGGTGAACCCTCTCAGCGGTTTCGCCAAATTAATCTCGTATCACTTCTATGCAAAATTCAGAGATTAATCTGGCGAAATCGCTGAGAGAGTTCAATACTGATGAGCCAAGTCCTCTCATTCAATAACTTATATCATTGCAGTAAGGTCTGTAGAGATAATATTTGATGATATTATTGAAATGAACCAAGCCCTCTCATTCAATAACTTATATCATTGCAGTAAGGTCTGTAGAGATAATATTTGATGATATTATTGAAATGAACCAAGCCCTCTCATTCAATAACTTATATCATTGCAGTAAGGTCTGTAGAGATAATATTTGATGATATTATTGAAATGAGCCAAGCCCTCTCATTCAATAACTTATATCATTGCAGTAAGGTCTGTAGAGATAATATTTGATGATATTATTGAAATGAGCCAAGCCCTCTCATTCAATAACTTATATCATTGCAGTAAGGTCTGTAGAGATAATATTTGATGATATTATTGAAAAGAACCAAGCCCTCATTCAATAACTTATATCATTGCAGTAAGGTCTGTAGAGATAATATTTGATGATATTATTGAAATGAGCCAAGCCCTCTCATTCAATAACTTATATCATTGCAGTAAGGTCTGTAGAGATAATATTTGATGATATTATTGAAATGAGCCAAGCCCTCTCATTCAATAACTTATATCATTGCAGTAAGGTCTGTAGAGATAATATTTGATGATATTATTGAAATGAGCCAAGCCCTCTCATTCAATAACTTATATCATTGCAGTAAGGTCTGTAGAGATAATATTTGATGATATTATTGAAATGAGCCAAGCCCTCTCATTCAATAACTTATATCATTGCAGTAAGGTCTGTAGAGATAATATTTGATGATATTATTGAAATGAACCAAGCCCTCTCATTCAATAACTTATATCATTGCAGTAAGGTCTGTAGAGATAATATTTGATGATATTATTGAAATGAACCAAGCCCTCTCATTCAATAACTTATATCATTGCAGTAAGGTCTGTAGAGATAATATTTGATGGTATTATTGAAATGAACCAAGCCCTCTCATTCAATAACTTATATCATTGCAGTAAGGTCTGTAGAGATAATATTTGATGATATTATTGAAATGAACCTAGCCCTCTCATTCAATAACTTATATCATTGCAGTAAGGTCTGTAGAGATAATATTTGATGATATTATTGAAATGAACCAAGCCCTCTCATTCAATAACTTATATCATTGCAGTAAGGTCTGTAGAGATAATATTTGATGATATTATTGAAATGAACCAAGCCCTCTCATTCAATAACTTATATCATTGCAGTAAGGTCTGTAGAGATAATATTTGATTATATTATTGAAATGAACCAAGCCCTCTCATTCAATAACTTATATCATTGCAGTAAGGTCTGTAGAGATAATATTTGATGATATTATTGAAATGAACCAAGCCCTCTCATTCAATAACTTATATCATTGCAGTAAGGTCTGTAGAGATAATATTTGATGATATTATTGAAAGAAACACATTGTCAGTGAATTTTATTGCTACAAATTTTATCGATAGATGGCAATTGAATTTATAAATTTAATTTACTAAAAAAAAAAAAAAGATCAAATATGTGAAATAAACTCTTAGAGAAAATGACAAAAACTATAACAAGACTCAGATCAAAACACTATCAAGGAATGACAATACATCCAGATGGCACAAGAACCTATAGGACATGCAACAACTGTCCTGGTGTGGAACTAACACCTACCCACATATTC